GAGAACAGTGCTCACATCATCCTCCACATAATTCAGGATTCTGAGACAGGAAGAGAAGGAAGAGGCCTTGTAAGAACACGACTGACCCAAAGATAGCTAGAAAAAAATATATTTAAAAATAATTTAAAAGAATAAAATGTTGTAAAGAAAGATTCATGGTAGAGATGGGCTGAGGCATGGAGGGGGCACTTATATTTTACCTGGGCTTTAAAGCCAAACTTCAACCTTTTGTTTTTTAGTTTTGGATAGACCTGGGATGAATCAATACTGCTGTCATGTTTTTAAAGCTCTTTTAAAAGGGTCACAGGAGTGCACTTAGTTCTGCACTCCTCTAAACCAAATTCAGCTGACAGTGGGCTAAAGCTCATTACTGAGCCGATCCAGGCACTGGAGGAATCTGGACTTTAATGTCAGGATCCACCCAGATTCCTGACCAACAGCTGGTTTAGCCTCTCACAGAGCTGCTGAGAGCCTGAGCTAATCGTTCCTGCATTCTGCACAGCTCAAGGCTTCAGTAAGCACTGGAGGAGCAGAGCAGAGAGACGGCGACCCTCTTTGATCCCTCAGTTTTCAGTCTTAGATGCAGTGGGGGGGACAGCTGTTTCATCGGACCAATGCTGCATTCACCTATGATTGTTTGTTTGCTTTTTTAAATCCCACACTTTCACCTCATTTACTATCCCTGTGATAGCAGAACAAACAATATGGGGAGCAGTTGTCACTGGGACAGAAAGCCACAGATAGAAACAACCCAACAGGGATTCTAACCTTCCCATATTTAGTAAAAACAATGTAGCCCATGTCCTCATGCGGACAGTAAGTGATGGAAAATCTATTTATTATGGATGCAGACTATATAGCGTTTAACAAAACATATTATTCTGGAGTTGGCATTTAAGGCCTCAAGCATACTGGACATTTTAAAAACTCTCCTAGAAGCCTAAGATATAGACATAGTGCAGCGCTATAAATTGACATCACATGTACATAGCTCGTCCTTGTATGGATCAACACGTGCTCAACTGGTGCGTAAATCCCTAGGAGGGGCTCGAGCGTCAGCGCAATGACGTCATATCCAGCGTAGACGCCATCTTGGTGCACCTGGAAATACCCACACATGCAGTACACCCATCTTGTGGTGGAAAACGCTGAAACATATCTTCTTTATGTGAGTAGATTCAAGTTTATTACCTCAATAAATCTATGGTTTTACACTATATTGGATTTTCTTGCCTTACTGGGGACGTGCATGGAGAGCTACTGGTCTTAAGAAGCAGGAGTGTACAGGGGAGAACTTGCTATTAGAGAAGGAGAGAGTCCCAACACCACTGCTGAGGAGGAATCCATACTTTGAAGCAGCAATACTATAAGGCTCATTGGCCCTGTGGGGCCTGGGCAGGAAGGTGAGGGGGCGCCCTAGGCACTGAGGATTGTCATGCATCAGTTGCACACCTGCATGAAGAGTGTTTTCTCATTTTAAGGACACCCATTTGTCTTGTTTTGTGTCTAATTATGCATGTCACATATCCCTCCAAGGGATCTACACACCAGTTGAGCACGTGTTGATCCATACAAGGACGATTCTATATTTATGTTATCTGTACATTTAGTGACACATCTGTTTATGAGCTATGTACATCTGATGTCATTTTATAGCGCTGCACTGCACTACATCTATATCTTATACTGTCATTTTCTGGTGCTCAGGTTCAGGGGCAGACTGACCATTTGGAAACTCGGGCACTGCTCGAGGGCCCTGGGTCAGTAGGGGGCCCCATGAGATGCCCCTGTTACCTTTTTCATAGGCTTTTTTTAGTTTGGGCAAGGACACAGGGGCCCCATGATCCCCTATTGCCCCGGGGCCCCATGAGTTGTCAGTCCTCCCCTGCTCAGGTTACACCAATCTAGTGCTGGCTGCATAGTTTTCCAGCATATTAGCACAGGAGTATTCTTTATATTCATTCTCCTAGAAGCCTTTCCTCCTGGCAGCAGCATTTTGGCAGAAACAATGCCTGACGCTTGTAAAAGTGTGTAACTCTTGGCTTGTTTAGGTGTCAAGCACTTGCCAAAACTCTGCTGCTCCTGGACACACTGATAGAAGTTTATTTTATTCTGCCTCTAAAAGCCCCTGCTACTAAAGGCTGCTAAAAGTCTACAGAGTTTATTTACTAAGACTGAAGAGTGCAAAATCTGGTGCAGTTGTGCATGGAAACCAATCATCTCTCAGTTTTTTTTGCCAAAGCTCAATTGAAAAAACTGAAGTTAGAAGCTGATTGGCTACCATGCAGAGCTGCGCCAGTTTTTGCAGTCTTAGTAAATCTACCCCTATGTGTGCATGGACACATACAGTAGGCTAACATGCAGGGGAGTTTAGAGGCAGAAACAAACACCTGATACCCCTAGAGGCAGCTGCAATAAATATATATGAGGTTTAAGGAGTCTAAATTAAAATATTACAGTGGAAAATGGTGGTAAAATAGTGCAAAATATAAGACAGCATTAAAATTGTGTAAAAATGGCATAAAGTTGTCGAATTTTCAAACTAAAATGTTTTAAGGACTAGAAAGTAGGACTTTTTTAAGAACCAATTCTTATCCTTGTCATCCATATAAGTTATACATACTGTAAAGTGTATCATATTGATGTTTTTAGATTTGTATTTAGTTAAATTGCGCCACCAGGTGGATATGAAGTAACAGTGCACACAGTTTTCAACATTCTTTCAATGTTTCTGCAGCACTGTGCACCATCACTCAGAGCACACAAATACAACGCAGAATCAGATTCACTCAGACTAGAGATGGTTAAATTGGTGCTTGTGTGGCTGGTCTCAGAGGAGAACTTTCCTTCTGCCAAATCCTTATTTGGAATAAAATAATTATTATAGCCTTTGCCTCCACGAAGTAGAATAAATTGGATGTTCTGGGGATACTGGCGATACCAAAACAAATATGGAGAGTTGCTGGATAAAGAGTAGTTGCAGGATAATGTTACTGAATCGCCGGTTTCACGGTTAACATAATGTCCTTCTGAGCTGATAGAAGAACCCAGAGCTGAAACTATGCAAGAAAAAAGAGTTGACACAAATTAGAATAAACTAAACTGATTAAATAAACTAATTCTGTAATTAAAACACAAAGAATATAATAATCAAACATTCACTGCTGTAAATAAAATAACAAATGTACTGTATATGTTTTTATACAGTGCAGCAGTTATATATATATTAATATAAAGGACCTCACAATAAAAAATGTCCATTTCCAATTTGAACAATTTGAATATGACATTATATCTTGTTCTTTTTTTAAATACAAATCTGTTAAACAATACTCTCCAAATGTAGTGCTATTTGTCAGTGTTCACTTAGTAAGGTCCATTAGTCTTTTGTTATATGGCTGTCCAGCACACAGTACTTACATGTGAGAAGGCACAAAATCAGGAATGACGTATCTAGCACAGCAGAAAGCTTACAGCAGTGCATTTTCTGTGACAGCTCGGAGCATAATACATCTTCATAGGGGATGTGCAGCAACACTAAGATGCCAATGACATCTCTGATGTAACCTATTGTAGGAGGGGATAGAGACCACACTGATGTAAACACACCTGTCTTCTATATAAGGACATCATATGAGAAGCTAAAGACTATATGATAAATGAACAAAATCTCATTCTGGACCAACTAAGCATTTATTTGTGTACTTTCCTCTTGACCCTTTCTTTTCTTCTCTTACCCTCCCTGTCTTCTGGCTTTGTCTCTCTCAGTCTTTCCTAATCCTATCCATGCCCATCTCCTAGAGGAGGTACAAAAGAACAGGGGCGGACTGACCATTTGGAAACTCGGGCACTGCCCGAGGGCTCAGGGTCAGTAGGGGGCTCCATGAGATGCCCCTGGTACCTTTTTCATAGGCTTTTTTGAGTTTGGGCAAGGACACAGGAGCCCCATGATCCCCTATTGCCCAGGGGACCCATGAGTTGTGGCCGGATAGACCCAAGGCATGGATAAGTTGTTTTGTGGTGTCATTGGTCAGGAAGGGGCAGATTTTGGAAATGTTCAAGAGGTTGAGGTGGCAGGATTTAGGATTTAATTGGATGTGGGGCCCGAAGGAGAGGTCAGAGTCTAGGATTACGCCTAGCACCCTGGCATGAGGGGAAGGACCAATGGTTGTGCTGTTGATCTTAATGGTGAAGTCATGAGTGGGGAATCGGGGGGGGAGGAAATATTACAAGCTCGTTTTTAGAAAGATTTAGTTTGAGGAAGTGGTGTGACATCCATACTACTATGTCGCTCAGTAGATGTGTGATATGTAAGGAGATTGAGGGGGTGAGTAAGTTATAGACTTTATTCCTTTAAGCAAACACTTTCCTTCTTCTTCATGAGTTTATTGTAAATAATAAAATTAATCAAAATGGCTTTGACATATTTATTGGTCCCCCTATGAGCTCAAGCACACAAGCCCAAGGAATGCAATGTTTTTATCTGTTCAGTCTTTTTTTATTTTACTGATCTGAATGCACATGTATTATTTTCTGTTGGCCCATGCACACAGCTGCATAATGACCAGTAAACTTGTACTGCATTCAGATCTATGAAAAGAAATATAGAACATTTTGCATCTGAGATCCGGCACCCTGTTGGATTCACCTGTCACATAGCAACAGAAGGAAGCTAGGTGACAAAAGTTGTATTCATTGTATACCTTATTGGCTCATCCCCAGTTCTTGCAGGGTGCTGTAGTGAGCTGGTGGATGGTGCCACCATGCAGTCATAGGAAAATAAAGATCTTCAAGAGCACAACTTGGTATAGTGATAATCTTGTCCTTCATTCACATGAAGCATCACAGGCAAACATTGTGGGACTTTGGCAGAAAGCTGTCCATATCCTACAAACAGAACACCATTTTCACTGTAATGCTGTGCACATGTAAATGTTGCTTACCATGCGGTGTTGCTCAGGGATTCCCTGCAGCGCTTACCTTGTCCTTCGCTCCCGCGATGCATCCCCTGCAGCGTCCCCGGCCATCTCCTCCGGCCAATGCTGGCATCCGGCTTCCGTGTTCCGGTCCCTGAGAGCGTCGGGACGTACGGGATGTACGGGGCCAGAACCGGCGGCAAATTTAAAAATTAAAAAAAATGTCATTTTCTAATAAACTAAAATAACATAGTAAAACATTACTGTTTCAAACCATTTCACATACATTTTGTCCCTACTGCTTTGTCCTGTGCCCTGCCTGCATTTTGACTGTTCTTTCTGCCTGGAAACTTAGAAAAGTCCATGGCGTCCAAAAAGCGTCCCTTTAGGTCAAAAGCGGTTTTAGACCAGCTAGAGATCAGTGATAGTAAACCAGAACCACTTGCAGAATTGAGTGATAATGATTTGTGGGGAAATTCGTCATCAGACACTGAAAATGATTTTGCGAATTTGCTCAGTGATGTGCGAACTTGGCGCTATATTTCAAATTTCAGTGTTTTTGGTTTGATTTTATTATTTAATTACATTTATTATTATATTATTATTTTTTATGATTATTTATTAAATTATAATTTATGATTTTGTGTTTCAAGTTTTATCCTATCCAGGATGTTTACTAGACTCTTGTTTGGACAGATTTCAGTGAGTTATTCCTAAAAATGACAGGCCTACAATAAAAAACTACATATTTCCATGCAAAAAAATGTACCGCTTTCAGCACAGAAATATGGACATAATCATACCGCTAGGGAGGTTAAACATTCATTTTTAAACAGGATCTTGCTACCAGCTTTTACCAGCAAGATCCTGCATACTAGTTTCCATAATTTCATATTTCCTTGTACCATTAGATGTTAACAAGCATTATTGGAATAATCTTCTAAGAATGCTTTTCACTTCAATTAGCATTCAAGTGTCTTTGATCACATAATCAGTCAATCTGAAAAGATAAAAGGAGAAAGTTATGATTAAAAGGATAAAAGAAGGAGAAAGTTAAAAAAAAAAGATAAAACGAAGGAGAAAAGTACTCACTCAGTTGCTTTGTATCATTCTGTGCAGCACAGTTATATTGAATGGCTACAAAAAAAAGAGGGGAAAAAGATGAAGATAGACAAACATGATAACGGTAAAGGCTACATAACCATCTCCAAAAAGCTTCATGTTATTCCGATCATAGTTGATAAACATTTTGATAAGTTGTAGATGGGTCAGGGTCCCTTTAAGGCTCACAAGCATTCAGATGCCTCTATAGATCTTGCCCAGATAAGGAAAAAGAGAAAGGCCTCCAATAGTGTACTATGAACGTAAAGTATTGCACTTAGGGTTGCCACCTCATCCATCAACCTGAACACATATTAATTACACAGGCTCTGTGGCTGATAAAGGTGGTGATTAAACTGATTTAGTGCCTTATCTGCATTAAAATAGCCTCAGAACCTGTGTAATCAATACGTGTTCAGATTTAAAAGGATGATGTGGTAAACCTAATTGCACTTACAGTACATTGAAAACTTTTAAAAACACAGTAAAACCGATCAGAAATGGCATATTGCTTCTGCTCGCTGCCTCCGTTCAACGAAGAAGAGGAGGATCGGGACTGCTCTGTGCAACATCCTTGCACAAAGCAGGTAAGTATTTAACAGTGCAATTACACCAAAGTTCAGTAGGTCTATCCATCAGGTGAGAGGCTGAAGGTGAAGGTTTCTCACTAGTGGTGATTTCGTTTTATTCCTCTTGAACACTTGGAGGGATGGGAACTTTTTTTATACATATGGATTGAGACTTTCACCTGGATGTTTCATATGCTATTCTGTTGAATTGTTACATTACCATTCTGATACATTTCGGTCATTGACTCAGGTGGATTCTTATATTGTTTATACATTGAGAATTGATACATAGTTTATGTGGACTTTCAGGATTCATTGTCTGCAGCTCTGTCCTGCTTTTTCTATTGTTTTTCAGATATGTGTTGTAATCATATGAGTACTTAGCAGGAGCAGATTATTTTGTGGAAAATGTTTTATATATTAGTTTATTTCAGATTGTGCACAGGTACTTTTATTATTATTTAACCACCTCCCGCCCGCCATATAGTAATATGACAGATGCAAGGTGGTTCTCTCATTCTGGGAGGATGTCATATGACGTCCTTCCATTCTAACCGCGCATGCGCGGCTCCCTCGGACACAGTGGATCACCGATCCGCGGAAAGAGCCGAAGATGTCAGCTCAGTCATGTGATCAGCTGTGTCCAATCACAGCTGATCACATGTAAACAGGGAATGCTGGTTATCGGCATTTCTCTACTCTCCAACTGTCACGCTGACAGCTCGAGAGGAGAGGAGAGCCGGCATTCTGCGGAGGGGACGTGTACACTGATCATCAGAGCACTGATGATCAGTGTGCCCTGATGATCAGTGTAGCCCCAGCAGTGCCACCTGTCAGTGTCCATCAGTGCCAGCTGTCAGTGCTCATCAGTGCCACGTGCCAGTGCCCATCAGTGCCACATCAATATCACATATCAGTGCCTACCAGTGCATATCAATGCCACATATTAGTTCCCATCAGTGCCAGTCAGTACCACCTATCAATGCCAATCAGTGCCACATTTCAGTGCCAGTCAGTGTTGTGTATCAGTGCCAGTCAGTGCCGCCTATCAGTGCCAGTCAGTGCCACCTAACAGTGCCAGTTCAGTGCCATTCAGTGCACCAAACAGTGCCAGTCAGTGCCACCTATCAGTGCCACCTATCAGTGGCATATATCAGTGCTGCCTTTCAGTGCCCATCAATGATGCCTGTCAATGCCCATCAGTGCCACCTACCAGTGCCTCTTCATCAGTGCCCCTCAGTGCCACCTATCAGTGTCCATCAGTGCAGCCTATCAGTGCCCATCACTGCAGCCTCATTAGCGCACCACAGTGAAGGAGAAAAATCACTTATTTACAAAATTTTATAACAAAAACTAAGATACAACTTTTTTTTCAAAATTTTCAGTGGTTTTTGGTTTGTTTAAGAAAAAATAAAAAACCTCGAGGTGATTAAATACCACCAAAATAAAGCTCTATCTGTCACAAAAAAATGATAAAAATGTCATATGGGTACAGTGTTGCACGACCACGCAATTGTCATTCAAAGTGTGACAGCGCTGAAAGCTGGAAATTGGCCTGGGCAGGAAGGGGGTATAAGTGCCCTGTAGGCTAGTGGTTAAGTATAACATGTTTGTTATTAAAAAAAATTATAATAATAATAGAAACCTTTACAAACGTTTTAACTTTTTCCTGACACATTTAGCAGCATATTATGGACACTGTAATTAGTTTTTTCTGATTGGTCACAAGACATGTAAAATACTCATTGACTGTGGTATCAGTTGTTTTGTAGCTTTTTGTCCTCTTTTGATGGAATTGTGTTCATCTCAATACAAGAGGCTACCAATATGGCTTCCAGGTCTACGGTCTCTAAGTATCAGCTTTCCTACTGATTACTAGAATGGATATCTCCTATTTATTTCTCCTGAAGAAGTGGACTGCCCATGAATGCATCAAGGGGGTTTATTTACTAATACTGAAGAGTGCAAAATCTGGTGCAGATGCGCATAGAAACCAATCAGCTTCAAGGTTGCATTGCCAAAGCTTATGTCAACAAGCTGAAGTTAGAAGCTGATTGGCTACCATGCAGACCTGCAGCAGATTCTGAGAGCTCCAGTTTTAGTAAATCTCCCCCAAGGTGTCTTGGGCCTAATATATATCCTTATACATCAGTGATCACATACCAGTTATTTTGATATATTGATTTATTTTTTGATGGGATATACATTCATAGGACCAATATGAAGGTTTATTATTTATTGTATGCTTATGCTTACTTAGCGTGCTCTCTATGTATAGTGCATTATTTTATGTGTCACTTTTAATATTTTGTATATTGAATAAAGCTTTGTAATCTAATATTTAAAAAAAAAATCATTGGAGTAGTACCCTCAAAATCTCATTGGTTGACTTCTCTTTTTTGCTTCAGTTTGTACTCGGGATGTAGTACCTTTCACCAGGGAGTTGCTAAGTGGAATCATCAAGGCTTTTCCTATTTAACTCTATGTTAATCTTTTATTATGGTTATCTGCAGGTAGCCTGTGACATCCTTTGGTTTCCTCAACCAGGTTTCAAAGCTTTTAGGCCAGTTCAAACTATTCATCATTACTTTGTGTATTTCTTTCAGATATCTGTAGTAATCCAGAGTGAAACTTTGCCTCTCTGCAGGAACTTCCTGTAATAAAGACCAGGTCACTGCTGATCTCTCTAATCATGCAGGGAGACTGGTCTTGTCTCCGTCCCCTCCTGTAATTTTCTGCAGGAAATCTGTAGGGTTTGGGGCCTGCTGGGCCCTTCCCACAGCACATGTACAGTACAGTGATGATGTCACTGCTACTTTTACAAGGTAATATCTGGGTTTGTAAAGGCACTTTGTGCACAAAAAGTAGATTTATATCCTTTATGGCTAATGAATAATATATTCAAATTTATGTTTGTGTGTTTGTGTGCCTGAAGTCCAGCTTTAAAGTATATGTCAAAGCAACTTAAGAAACATATACAGTCCATCTCTGCAATACATGTTCATTTCTGAAGTGTCATAACAAAATTCTGTACCTGTTGATCTGCCAGAAATCCAGTGTGCGCCTAATTTCCTGTTTTGACAACACAATGCTCCTGCAGCTATGGAATCCCAAATTGTGTTGTCAGCTATGCTCACCTCAATTCTGCTGGGCTGCCTACAGAACACCTCCACAAACTCATTATATCCATTATGTAAGAGGTAGGTGCTCTGCAGTTCAGGAGAGGAGAACATTGCTTGAGATTTCAGTGCAGCATAAGCAGCATTGTCAGCTTAACAGGTATTTTTCTGTGCGTACAGTATAGGGAAAGATGTATGTATTGCAGAAATGTACTGATTATGTTTTTTTTACTTTGCCCAGAAATACATTTAAAGCACTGGGGATACAGTAAATATGATTTTACCATGCTGCAATATTGCATGCCTGAAAATATATTTCAGTTCAGGTGACATTCACACTACAATACCCTTATTCTCCAAAAATAATCTATATACATAAACTATTTAAGCAAGCGCGCAGGTCATGCAACACTGTACCCATAAAAAATTGTTATCTTTTTCACACAAATAGAGCTTTCTATTGGTGGTATTTAATCATCAAAATAAACAAAAAAAACCCTGAAACGTTTGAAAAAAAATGCGTTTTTCTTCATTTTTGTTATAAAATTTTGCAAATAAATAACCTTTCTTCATAAATATAGGTCAAAATGTATTCTGCTACATTTCTTTGGTGAAAATACCCCAAATTAGTGTATATTATTTAGTCTGTAGGAAAGTTAGAGAGTCCACAAACCATGCTATATATACAGTGAGGAACAGAAGTATTTGAACACCCTGCGATTTTGCAAGTTCTCCCACTTAGAAATGGAGGGGTCTGAAATTCACATTGTAGGTGCATTCCCACTCTGAGAGACAGAATAAAAAAAAAATTCAGGAAATCACATTGAATGATTTCTAAAGAATTTATTTGTCTATCATCTATCACCTGATACAGGTGGGCTATGATTAGCTCTGTCTGTACCCTGTGACCAATCACAGCTAACAACACAATTGTATACAATGAATGGCATGAAAGGAAGCCATCCATTGTATACAATTGTCATGTGATCTGCTGTGATTGGTCACAGCAGTCACATGGCACTGGCAGTGCAGTGATCTGTCATTGGCTGTGTCCTGCAGACACAGCACAGCCCCGTGGATCGCACCTTCTAACAGGACATCATATGATGTCCACTCACAAGGAGGAGTATCCTGCCCGGCTGTCAGTCTTCTATAGGCCAGGTGGGAACGTATTAATAGCCTTGAAATCTATTTTTCAACAAATAATTTCTTAATTTCTAATGTGTTTTCTTGCCTCATTGTAACATCCTCCGCAAGCTCCCAAACCTCTTCTTTTCTCCCTCACTTCTGTTTGCTCGGAACAAGCAGTGCATGTTAGTTGAGGTCATGTGCATCACTCTATGCACACTACAAATCCCATAGTCCATATGACATACTCGATAGTTCATTTCAGGAGTGAGTAAGTTAGGGTGGCTATATTCCTACATACAGTGGGACCATGGATAATGAACGCAGCCACCCTCTAATGAAAAGTCAGATCAGCTGCAGGAAAAACAAATCTGGAGATTAGGAATAGCTTGAGAGCAACAGATAGGACTTTTCTTAAGAATACATAGTTAAGAATACATACTTGAATAGAATTTTGTTTTTTAAACCAGAGTTTAGGAGTGCGCATGCGCGGGCGGCCGGCACGCATGGTCTGGTAACCGCTCCGCTCACCCCCGACACTTACGGAGCCCATATTCGGGTACCGAGCCCCACGAGCACCGTGATCCCCTCTGGTCCAGGTCGGGACTCCTGGAACCTTGTCCCCATGCCAGGACGGATTTCAGGGAAGGGTCGTAGCGGCTCTCAGCACCCGATCCCTGGTGGGCAGGGGACCTAAGATGGCACCCGGCTAGGCTCCTGCGACCTCCACTGCATCCATGCAGACAGCACCTCTCCATCAGTGGGCAAAACTTGGCCCTCCTGCAGCAACGGCCCGGGATCGTGACATGGTGGCCTCTTCTGCTGGGGTGAGTGACCCTCTGCGGCCCCCCCCCCAATCGCCTCCTAGCCCTGTTATACCAGTGTCCCAGACTTCGGCCTGCTCACTAGGCCAAGACTCCCCTGTGTCTTCTCCGTTAGATAATGAGATGGCCGCTATCTTTCTCAGCCAGAGCAGTGGTGTGGAACCTGACCCTGATATCCCTGGGAACTCACCAACACTCCCTCCGGCTCCACCACAATACTATGACCCTTATCGCTCATTTTGCTGATCTACTGCAACGCGAATTAGATAGAGCTACTACTGGATTGGCAGCTGATCTAAAGCAAGATTTCCAGGAATTGGGCCAACGCCTTGACGGTATTGAATCTAAAGTTGAGGTGACAGTCCACAACGTATCCCAAAATTTCAATATGATTTTCAACTTACAGGATCTGTTGGAGGAAGCTTATTCTAAAATTTATGATCTGGAGAACTGGGCCAGACGTTATAATTTCCGTAAACCGAGGGCCCCCCTGAATCAATCAAAAAGCTCATTAGCTGTGCTCAATCCCTCATGCGATCCGCGATGCCTGAAATTGTTGATCTTCATACAGAAATTGATCGTATACATAGAGCATTGATCCCCCCTAGACAGGGGGGGCCTCCTAGGGATGTTATTGTTAAACCACAGTTTTTTGGGTCAAGGAAGCTGTTATGAAATATAGTACAGAAACTCCGGAGCTGGAACTTGCAGGACATAAAATATAAGTATTTGTGGCTGTTTCTCCGACCACTATCCAGAAGCGGAGGTCCCTCAAGCCACCACTTTCCCACTTGGTGCGGAGGGATATCCGTTATCGGTGGGCCTACCCTTTTCGCCTACAATTTACCCATGATGGAAAACCTTATGGGTTCTCTACATTTCATGAAGGCGAAGGACTTCTTCTTCAACTAGGCATCATTTCCCATAGTCCTTCATCTCACTCTCGATCAGGAACTGCTTCTCATCCT